CATTGTGAATAGTTCTCTGAAAACATCGACTCAATGTGCAGCAGGAGTCTAAAAAGGTAACAGAATGTTAGGAACCATTACGAAAGGGATAGATAATAAGACAGAAAATATCATAATGTCACTATATAAATCCACGATGAACCCACACCTTGAATAGTATGTGCAGTTCTGGCCACGCCATCTCAAAAAAGATATATTAGAATTGGAAAAAGTGCAGAGGAGGGCAACCAAAATGATTAGGGGTATGGAACAGACTCCATTTGAGGAGAGAGTAAAAAGTCTGGAACTTTTCAGCTTGGAAAAGAGATGACTAAGGTGGGATATGATAGAGGTCTATAAAATCATGAATGGTGTGGAGAAAGTGAAAGTGTTATTTACCCCCTTCACGTAACATAAGAACCAGGGGTCACCCAATGAAATTAATAGGCTGCAGTTTTAAAGCAAACATAACAAAGTACTTCTTCATACAATGTACAGTCAACCTGTGGAACTCATTGCCAGGGGATGTTGTGAAGGCCCAAGCTGGGTTCAGAAAAGAACTAGATATGTTCATGGAGGATAGGTCCATCAATGGCTATTAGTCAAGATGATTAGGGATCCAACCACATGCTCTGGGTGTCCTCAGCCTCTAACTGTCAGAAGCTGGGAATGGACAACAGGGGATGGATCACTTGATAACTGCCCTGTTCTGTTCATTCCCTCTGAAGCATTTGGCATTGGCCACTGTCAGAGACATGAGACTAAGCTAGATGGACCATTGGTCCGACCCAGTATGGCCATTCTTATGTTCTTCAATTATAGTGTCTTTTAGTAGTTTCCAGCCTTTCCAGAGTTGTGGATTTTGATACTTCCTCTGATTTCACCAGGCTTGCTAGAATTTGTGATCCTCTCACATTTGTTGCCTATGCTTCATGTGTTTGTCACTCTTGTATATCAACATAGCTTTTATTTTTCATCTTCTTTTGCAGAACAGCTCCATCTTCTGTTTTATTTTGTATGTTGGAAATACGTAACAGATAATTTGTGCTAAGCAAAAGCTCCCCCCTCTGTCCACTTCCTACCTAACCAGCTTTGCTAATTTTGAACCTGGCAGGTTAGTCCCCTGCCCTTAATTGGAGACAGTATAATCCAAACAGTTGTGTCTCTTCATGGAAGGCTTTTCCAGGCTCCATAAATTCAATCCCAACTCTTGACACAGCTTATACCTCCATCCGTTTGCCTCCAATATCAATTTCTTTCCTTCTATTGTTCTTGGTACTAAATGAAATTCCAACAAGGTTTCAGCTCTCCTGGATTCCTGCATCATCCTTGAGTTTATTAAATCTCCCCTAATCTTTTCCCACATGCATGACATCTAGAGGATTTTTCCCTGGCATTCTTCAAGCTCTCTTTTATCCTTTTTGTTATATCATTTGTCCTGTACCCATAGAGGTGGCATTCTATTTAATTTTCAAATTTGGCCACATGTGTCTCAGAACAAGATTTCTCACTATCATATCACCAGTTAGGATCACTTGCTGCTTTCTTTCTAGTGACTCCTGTTCAATTCTTACTACTCAGTCACTGGTAGAGCTGAGTTAATAATGGGTTTTTTAGTTCAGAGGCATAACTGAAAAATCTGGAAAAAAAATACCCTCTGGTTTGGGATGAACAGAAACAATTTTTTTGAAAAATGTTCATCAAACTGAAAAATCTCAACTGAATCCACCCAAACATTTCAAGTTGACCTGAAACAAAATTATTTTTGTTTTACGATCAGTTTCAAGTCAATAAAACCAATTTTTTCATTTTGATTTGCCTGTTTCAGGTGTTTTCACCCTTCTTTGTTGTGGCTTTTTAAAAAAAATCTGGGGCCAAATTTGAAACCGAATTACTGTTTTGAATGAAAGTCAAAACAAAATGTTTCAAAAAGGTCAAGACAAAATATTTTGACTCTTTTTTGACAAAATGTTCTCAATTGAAACTATTAATCAAATTGACCCAATTTGGGTAAATACTTTCAGACCCCCCAAAATGCATTTTTCGATGAAAAATTTGTCCAGAAAAATTGCCTGTCTCTAGTCACTGATAAGGCATCAGCAGGGCTCTAAAACAGAGGTTAATTGTTGCTTGTGTTTACCTGTTACTCCCAATGGGGTAATATTTTTCAGTTTCTCCTCTACACTCTGTAATATGTCCTGTTCTTCCTCACTGAGATACCATGTTTGCTGCCTTCATCAATGACACACTCTCATCAACATCAGCCTCTCTTCTGAGCTCTTTGTGCATTAGTGACTGATCCCTGCTTCCCTGATGGGTTGATTCCACTTAAGGATTTTATATTCATATTTCATTTTAATGCAGTGTCTTCAACCCTGAGGGGGAGTATATAGTGATGAGGAAGCTATGCTGATCCAGGCGCAGGGAACAATTTTTCTGCTTCTGAGGAATGCATTCTGCTTCTTGGCACAAGGAGGGCTGCCTTGCCTGCTGCTATGGGTCTGTTCACATTTTGGGGCAATGTGTACAACGTATTATGAAACAGATGGGTGTGGCCAAACATACAGGAACTTCTAGCAGGTGATATGACAGTACAATATAATACTTTATATTTGGAAATGGAATTAGTACTAGATGGACTGTGGAACAAACATCTCTTGTGCCTCTGCTGCTGTGTTTGTGTGAGCCTGAAGGCTAACAAACAGGCAGGGAACCCTAGCCTGCTCAATGAAATGAAATGAAATAAAATAATGCTTTCCTCTTAAAGATGGAGTTAGCCCCACTGGAATGTTTGACAAAGCCAAAAGAACTCATAAAAATAAATCTTCATTTCCTCTTGCCACTCCCTGTCTGTCTTTTAACCTACACAAAGATAAAGAGCCTCTGTGTAGAGAATTATGAAAATATACTTTTGGGGTCTAGGGGAGCAATGGGATGGGGGCTCTGCTTTCAGAAATTGTAGTTACACCCTCTTTGTAATACCCAGCTGCAAATGGCATTATGACTGACCTTACTAATCCTAGGAGCAAGCTCAGCTGAGCAGGGACATGGAAAAGATACATCATGTGACCTTTCCCAATAAACCTGACATTTAAACCAAGACCAACTACAAAACCCATCCCCTAAAAATGTGCACCTTTCCACAGAAGTTTCATATCCATTTTGCAGAATGGCTTGCAGGGTTGAAAACATGAAATCATAGTAGCTTGAAAAATTTGCACGGAAACCCACCCTTAGTCCTGTTTCATATAGTTTTGGGATATCCTAGTGTGTTTTCCACAACTCAGGTGCGGAATTTATTATCTATGCTTGAGATTACAATTTAGGAAATATGAGTCCATAGTATCACTAGCAGTAAATGTTCACTATCTGAACTAAAAACCAATTCAAATTTCTTACGTAACTTCCAGAACTGTGGTATCTGTGTTGCCATCATATGATATGAAAAGATACCGTGTCTCTTGACTCTTTGTAGAGCCTCAGGTTAACAAGCACCTGATCCAAAACCTATGAAATAAGGAGAAATCACTCCAATAGGCTTTGGACCACGCCCTTTGTCATTTTCAGCTAATACTGTTAAATCCATGAACATTTTTATTCAGTTTTTACTCTGGGCTCTTATTCAAAAATTGCATCCAGTTGTCATCACTACATTTAGCAAAGAGCCAAGTAACATTCCAGACTTTTTTTTTAATATTCCTATGTGGAATGAATTATTTCAGATTGTTTCATCTTTATTTTGGGGTTATTAACCTGTGGCTGTTACTCCAGGCTGATGCAGGGGTTGTTGGAACAATTTGTACAGCGGGGTCCTGAGAGCCATTGAACCAAACCGTAAACCCTGTATATAATGGAAACCACTTCAAGTCAGGGGATGCAGCAGCACCCCCAGTACCCTAGTTCCAGCACCTATGGGCTGACATTTGGAGTAGCCTATATGTACCAACTGCCCTGGGTCCACTTAGTGGCAGACCCTTCTCACTGTCCCTTCACATCAACAGAGCAAAACCAAGTAAGAACTGTATTTTTGTAGATTGAATGTGTTAGATTGGTACGTTTGAACAGTGGTGAATGTCTCATCTCAGTTAGCCATCATAGCTTTTTCAAGATGATCCAGGTCAAATAACTAAAAACCCTGCAATAATAATGAAGCTGAATCTTTAACTCATTATTTATTGACAGAATCACAAGATTTGCTTCACACTCCATACTTCCCCAATGATCCAGATACTCACCTAGCAGATGATGTATATAATCAACTCTGTCTTCTGGGTGATTCTTTCATTATCCTCAAAATTGAGAGTGGATCTGAAATCATCACTCTTTCAGGGATTCAACTTCATATTTATTCCGACAGAGACTTAAATCTGATTATCTAAAGATATTTCAGAACGAATATTTACAGCCTATACAGGGGAAAAGCAGTCAGCCAAAGTAATCTGCGTTTGTTTCCATCAGGCCTCTTGGTATTACCAGAGAAAATTTTGCAATTTTAATCCAAAGTTTTCATGCTTTCCATGCTAAAAAACAAACTTTGACTTCACATGTGAAAAAAAGGCATTTCAAGAATATACACTAGAGTCTTAGAACTAATCTCAAATTCATAGAAGTGAGAGGCCAAGATCATTTCATGCCAAACAAGAGGACAAAACAGAAAATAAGAAAACTCATCCATATCCTGTATCCCCTCTGACAATCTTCTGAACAGTGTTGCTATTAGTTAGAATTTTCATAACGTATTCTTTTGTAAACAAAAGCAGTGTGGCAATATGTCAATTGTCTTCTCTGCTGCTTTCCTATGATTTTGTTGTTGTTTTTTATATGTCGAGTATAATAATGGAAAAAAACATCATCAGTAAAAATAATGTGATAGGTATAATGACAAGCAAGGAAAAAACTTTATATAAAAACATCTGAGCTGTGAAATGTATTTTTCTCTCCCTAGAACCAACAATAAGTTTTCAGTAACTAAAAGCCCTCATCGGTATTATTTATATATTATTAATTGCTTTTTTCAACAGCCATTCAAGAAAAACACTTTAGAAAGCAAGCTGGTCACACAATAAAAGACTACGTATCCAGTGAGACTGCCATACCAGAAGGTGGACTTCTACTAGAAGTGAGTGATAAATGCTATCATTTCTGGTTCTAAGATTATGCATGCAACTTAGTTATATTGGTGATTTATTAAACGTTATTTAGCCTGAGCCAGTATTGAGCAAATGGCCCTGCATTGTGTTAGACTTTGCATTACTTGAAGTGTCTGCTGTTGAATGGGATGCAAAATCAAGGTCCAGAACTCTTGTGGACATGAAAGATCCAGTTGCAGTTTTTGCAAGGATAAAAGTATCAGTTACGGAGTCTTAGTCAAATTCCAACTTGGGTGATTGCATTCTGCATCCCTAAATTTCCCAGTAGTTTCAATTAAATACAAGGACCTGATTCTCACTTACAGCAGGCATGTGACGGTGGCGGAGATTGATTTTAGCTGCCTGTGTGCACACCTGTGGGACTATGCAGGGACTTGCTTGATCTCTGGTGTGAGTTAGAGCAGCCTAAGAGCTACTATAATTTAAACAGCTTTCCATGGCTTCCCACGTGTCAGGAGTCAGGGCCTGCAGCAGCGTACTCTGGGAGCAAGCCCTGTAGAGCCAAGCTTCAGGCAACCTAAAAAGTGCATCTGGCCCGTTGTAGGCTGCCTGACTGGCTACAACACCTGATTGGTTGGAAGAGACAGCAGGCTGGCTGCTCAAAGCATGTGCCTGTGGCTGTGATAGCTCCTGCCTTGTTCCCAGCCCTGCCCCTGCATTTCCTCACTCCAAGTAACCCAGCTCTGACCCTGGGCTCCAATTCCTGACCTCTGACTCCAGCTCTGACCCTGGGCTCCAATTTCTGGCTACCAACTCCTGTTCTAGCCACTAGGCCTGATGCTTATTAGGACCATTAGGCCTGACTCCTGCTACAACCACTAGAGACAACTGCCCATGTTCTGGTCATGTGACACGGTATGCACTAGAAAGCAGAAAATAGCCACAGTACACGCTGGATAGACCTCTACTCTGCCTCTGACAAGGGCTAGGTGGAGGGCTAGTGCAGCACTCTTACACCAGCTCTGCTTTATCGGGGAAGAGCTCTGAACATTTTATTCTTGCAGAACTATTTCCATCTGCTTAAAGATTCTCTCTTGCCATAGTGGCATAAAGGGGCCTTAGTGTAACTGAGAATCAAGCCCACTAATCTTATTTAAAAGTAGCGCTGCTATGCATTGATAAATAGCCTCTGAGGTCCACCTCAGAGATGGCTACATTTCACAGATAGGTGAAGCAATGCCTGTATACACACGGTGCCCTTAATAAAACTGCCATTTGATTATAAGTAAATGTTATTTGCAATAGTTCCCCATTCTAAATGTATAAGGAATACAGTCCATATAAATAATAGCAAAAGCAATAAGTGTCTAACTCTTAAGGGTTCCCACTGTATTTAATTTGTGTTTGGGATCTTTTAAGGTGATAAGTGCCATATACATGTAAGATATAATTGTTACAGGTCTTGAATGGCAGCCATATGGCTACAGGAATACTTAGATAGATCTTTTGCCCCCACTGCTTCCCTTGAAAGGCTATTTCAAAACTTCACTCCTCTGATGGTTAGAAACCTTCGTCTAATTTCAAGTCTAAACTTCCCGGTGGCCAGTTTATATCCATTTGTTCTTGTGTCCACATTGGTACTGAGTTTAAATAATTCCTCTCCCTCTCTGGTATTTATCCCTCTGATATATTTATAGAGAGCAATCATATCTCCCCTCAACCTTCTTTTAGTTAGGCTAAACAAGCCAAGCTCCTTGAGTCTCCTTTCATAAGACAAGTTTTCCATTCTGCAGATCATCCTAGTAGCCCTTCTCTGTACCTGTTCCAATTTGAATTCATCCTTCTTAAACATGGGAGACCAGAACTGCACACAGTATTCCAGATGAGGCCTCACCAGTGCCTTGTATAACGGTACTAAAACCTTCTTATCCCTACTGGAAATACCTCTCCTGATGCATCCCAAGACCGCATTAGCTTTTTTCACAGCCATATCACATTGGCGGCTCATAGTCATCCTATGATCAACCAATACTCCAAGGTCCTTCTCCTCCTCCGGTACTTCTAATTGATGCGTCCCCAGCTTATAACTAAAATTCTTGTTGTTAATCCCTAAATGCATGACCTTACACTTCTCACTGTTACATTTCATCCTATTACTATTACTCCATTTACAAGGTCATCTAGATCCTCCTGTATGATATCCCGGTCCTTCTCTAAATTGGCAATACCTCCCAGCTTTGTATCATCCGCAAACTTTATTAGCACACTCCCACTTTTTATGCCAAGGTCAGTAATAAAAAGATTAAATAAGATTGGTCCCAAAACTGATCCTTGAGGAACTCCACTGGTAACCTCCCTCCAGCCTGACAGTTCACCTTTCAGTAGGACCCGTTGTAGTCTCCCCTTTAACCAATTCCTTATCCACCTTTCAATTTTCTTATTGATCCCCATCTTGTCCAATTTAGCTAAAAATTCCCCATGTGGCACCGTATCAAACACCTTACTGAAATCTAGGTAAATTAGATCCACTGCGTTTCCTTTGTCTAAAAAATCTGTTACTTTCTCAAAGAAGGAGATCAGGTTGGTTTGATCTACCTTTTATAAAACCATGTTGTATTTTGTCCCATTTACCATTGACTTCAATGTCCTTAACTACTTTCTCCTTCAAAATTTTTTCCAAGACCTTGCATGCTACAGATGTCAAACTAACAGGCCTATAGTTACTCGGATCGCTTTTTTTCCCTTTCTTAAAAATCGGAACTATGTTAGCAATTCTCCAATCATACGGTACAACTCCTGAGTTTACAGATTCATTAAAAATTCTTGCTAATGGGCTTGCAATTTCGGGTGCCGATTCCTTTAATATTCTTGGATGAACATTATCTGGACCCCCCGATTTAGTCCTATTAAGCTGTTTGAGTTTCACTTCTATTGTTGGGATGCAATGAATTGTGGGTTTTGTTGTTGACCCAAATTCATCTTATTAGCTGTAGTGGACAAAGGAGTTTTAACTAAGTAGTTGCCTTCATTGCTGCTCTGCGGGAAAAGCTACTGTGTATTATGGACAGTCACGTGAATAAGGCCATTTTATCTGCTGTTGTAAGATCCTCTCGGTGTGTCAAGAAATCCTTACATTTTCCTTGTCATGCAAACACCTTTCACTGTACAAACTCTCATGGTTGGTTCCTGGATTCATATAAGCCTGATTATTTTATTTTGAGGACCAGTTGTGTACTTGGTGCCGTACAAACATAAAAAGGTATGGTCCTTATCTTGAGATGCTTCCAAGCTAACTCAAATATCTTTCTAAAGTACTACTTGAAATGTAGACCTTCAGCATATAATATATGTACTGTGTATGTTTATCACACTTTCTAAATAGACTATTCTGTTAAGTAATAGATCAATGATGGAAAGACTAGCAGAAGTGTATTTTAAAGAAGAAGGTCACCTTGCCCAGAAGGTCTAATGGGCTTTTAATTTTCTTGTTAGACAATGTGGGGAAGGTTCCTGACATGGCCAAAGCTCTACAAATTACTGTTTGAGGTTCTTCCGCTTTCTTCTTAAATATACAAACTGTGAGCCTGATCCTTAGAGGTGCTGAGAGGCTACAATTCCCTTTAAATTCAAAAGGGAGTTGTAGGTGCTCAGCATCTCTCAGGATCAAGCCTTGTGTAGTATTTCAGTGTAAATTTATAGTGTGTGGGCACGGGAAAGAGACAGTTACTTACCAGTAATTTTGTTTGTCATAATCTCTTTTTTTCACCCATGCTGCTACTTACCCTCTGCAGGGTATTTGAGTTGTTCACTTCTCCCAATGTTTTTACTCTTATTATCCTGTCTCCCCTTTCTACATTCCCCAGAAGAGAAAACAGACCCCTTCTGACTAAAGTTGAAGTCCATTTTATTAAGAAGGCTCTGGTTTTTTTTCTTGTGTAGCCAACTCTTATGACCTTCTCTATTCTCTTAGCTTTGCGCCCAAGTGGCTTGTATCCTGTAATGAGTTTTAACCTTCAACTTCCAAAAAGTTTTCTAAGTCAGTGCAGTTTAACAGTTTTACCTCCTCGATTTTCATATTGTTGCTCTAAGGCTGCCCGGTCACCACAGAGTCCTGGTATTTATTATTTAATGACATTGTCAATTTGCCCATTGCTGTAACATAGCCCATCCACTGTATCCCTTCTGTCTCAGAAGGTGGAAGCTGGTCGTTTCCAGGCCAGTGTTATAGTTTCCTTCCTTATTACATTGGGCCCAATAATAAGACATCACTGGCAGATTTGGTTACTGTTCCCACTAAAAAAGCCCATACGATTTAGAGGGAGCAGAAAGGCAGTGATCTTCCAGGTGTAGTTTGGAATCATACTCCAGAATGCTGAATATGTGGGCTCAACTGATTAAAACAGAATCCCTTGGCTTGTTTTTTCCCTGAATATTTTAGTGATCCAGGATCTCTTTAAAAAATATCTGACATTCCAATGATTCCAATACCCTTTGGGTTAGAACGTTTGCAAACATCGGTTCTGTAACTCACTCCATTCTGTTGGAGCATGTGGGGGATAACCCTGCCCACACCACGGGGTGTTCTATAGACATTTATTCTACCACCCGAAGAGAGCAGCCCAGGAGGCATTTGCTTTTAGTACACATGGCTAATGGTAGACTTCAGAGTGAGGCAATCTCATACTGCTTGATGCTTTGGAACTTGTTAGTGTGTCTCAGTGAGCCTTAAATTGTTTGTTTTGTGATATACAGTTGAACCTCCGTAATTTGCACGAATGATGGAGAGACCCATTATGAATGATTGAATTTTGCATATTAGATAGAAAGGAGTCGATTCTGCCACTTTCATTCATATTGATAGTACCATATTCCACCTTTATTTGTTTAGATTTATAAAACAAAATTAGCATCTATCAGTGTCTAGGCACCTTTAGCAATTATTTAAAAATCACAAATAACCATAGATGTCAATAACTATGCAGCCTGTGACAATAACATACCCCTTCTTCAACATTATGTCTTAAGCAAC